TAGGCTGAAGTAACTGACCAATCCCTAAAAACTTTCTTTGTGTGTTCATTTTCCTTTCATTATGTTATTCTATTATTAAATGTGTCATTACTATTTTCACAGGAGTTCAGTTGCCACGAACTGCATTCTCATATGTTTTGTTTCTACGTGAAACCAAACCAAGAGTTTGCAATTACCAATAGACGACCGAATCAGACTACCGATGCAACAGAAAACGCCAAAAACGGACACTAGCGAAATCCAGAGCTACAGAACTGCAGCTAGATTCGGTCCAGGGAGTTCTCAATGGACGTAAAAAGAATGAATGACCAATCCTCTTTTCGAACTTTACTTGAACAGGGACTAATAAAGTGGAAGCGGTTTATTGTTGTTGGTTATATTAGTATGAAATACAGCTACTGTAAAATGGTACCCAACACGGTCTTCAGATGATGTCCAACAGGCCAGCTTTACAAAGGCGTACACATGATTACAAGCCAAACAATGCACTCATCAACAAGTACACAAGAGAAAAGATATATGAACCCAGTGGTATATATGATGTGATATCAGGTGTTTCAAAAGGGATGAACACATTTGGCACACACCAGGTAATGCTCCCCATCGCAAACAAGCTATCCACGATCATTATATGTTGTTCTCAGGCTTATACAAGCTGGCTTCCGTCAATAAAAAAGCTACAAGTAAATGACACTCTCCATCACAAACAACCTGCCCTTTACTAGTAAATGGTGCTCTCCATCTCATACAAACTGTCCTACACGAGTAAATAATGCTCTCCAACCAATAAAACTTCCCCCCACCAATGAATGATGCTCCCCTTTCCATGCAAATTGCCCTCTACCAGTAAATGATGCTCTCCATCCCATGCAAACTGCCCTTTTCCAATCAATGATGCTTTCCATCCCATACAAACTGCCCTCTACTAGTAAATAATGCTCTCCATCCCATACAAACTGCCCTCTACTAGTAAATGATGCTCTCCATCCCATGCAAACTGCCCTTTTCCAATCAATGATGCTTTCCATCCCATACAAACTGCCCTCTACTAGTAAATAATGCTCTCCATCCCGTACAAACTGCCCTCTACCAGTAAGTGATGCTCTCCATCCCATGCAAACTGCCCTTTTCCAATCAATGATGCTTTCCATCCCATACAAACTGCCCTCTACTAGTAAATAATGCTCTCCATCCCATACAAACTGCCCTCTACTAGTAAATGATGCTCTCCATCCCATACAAACTGCCCTCTACTAGTAAATGATGCTCTCCATCCCGTACAAACTGCTTTCTACCAGTAAATGATGTTCTCCATCCCATACAAATTGCATTCTAATAGTAAATGATTCTCTCCATCCCATACAAACTTCCTTCTACCAGTAAATGATGTTCTCCATCCCATACAAACTGCATTCTAGTAGTAAATGATGTTCTCCATCCCATACAAACTGCATTATAGTAGTAAATGATGCTCTCCATCCCGTACAAATTGCATTCTAGTAGTAAATGATTCTCTACATCCCATACAAACTTCCCTTTTCCAGTAAATGATGCTCTCAATCTCATACAAACTTACCTCTACAGTAAATGATGCTCTCCACCCCATACAAACTTACCTCTACAGTAAATGATTCTCTCCATCCCATACAAACTGCCGTCTACCAGTAAATGATGCTCTCCATCCCGTACAAACTCCATTCTAGTAGTAAATAATGCTCTCAATCCCATACAAACTTCCCTCTACCACGATGACCAGCCAAAAGTGAATGAAAGACAGACGCGCCTCAAAGTCTAGGTGTACTGACTTTGTAGCAAAAATAGAAAACATTGTCGGCAATATCTGTCAATCATTCCTCTGATTTGCAGTCAATGTTTATATTTCTAGTTACAACTTGCGTAAATTTGAAAACAAAGTGTGTAACCTATTGTAGTAAGTTATCAACATCTAGCACTACTTCAGCGTCAAATCAGTGCCTGGAATTGCTCTACCGGTAATTGGTAGATGTATTCTAAACAGTACACTCACTACTTGATGTTGTGATGTTTATTTGACATTCTCACAGAAAGTGGGTATTAAAGTATGTTAATACTGTTTGTGGCAGCCTATCATTGACCATTGAGTTTTGATACTCCTTGATTTAGTTCCATTGATACTTCTAGAAGAAAACATTAATACAAATATATTGTGGATATTAGTGAATTATAACAAAGTGTTAAATTTCTCTTGTGTGGCAAAATGTTGTTGCCACATTGTAACAAACAAGACCTGCTTTATTTGAACCTGAGGCTTGGGATGTTCATTCGTCTTTCTGACCTTATTCCAACACCAAGTGCAGATAGAATAATTTGCATGAAACTAAGTATTACTTGTTTTTTATAGTTTATTGTTTTTATATACAAATCAAAGAAGCTCCTGTGTGCTGTGAAGGTACTGAAGTGGCAAAAATTACATGAAAGTCGTATACAGTTTGTTACTCATATTTAAAACAGTGAGTTCGTAATAATGTTTATGTACAACACATGTGAACCAACATTCTCCATATCCACCCTTGCAGCGTTATGAGTGCCTTGAAAATTTTAGCAAAATATTTCGACCCACCAAGAAATTAGAGCTTTGTCAACAGCAATGATATTCCATACCGCATAGTGAAAATCTATAAATTGCCTATTTGCAGTACAAACTAGGTAAATTGAAGTTATATGCACAGCTCAGAACTAAAACATAGTTTGCTGATTATCCCTGAGCAGTTCTTATTTACACAGAAATAATCCAAATTTGTAAAATGGGTAGAAATTAGAACCCAAAACTAATCAGGAATGTAAATTAACTCAGCGGAATTGTCTATACTGGATAATTATTATGCAAATTAGGTAATTAATTATGTCTTCAGAGCTTGTTTGTAACAAGATTCAATTAATGGTACATTCAAAGACTCGTTTTTATTCTTTCTCACATAACTTTAAGCATCATGTCTATATTCCTACAAGACACAGTAGTCAAATGTAGACTTTAGAAACCCCAACATTATCTTTCGGAAATACTGCCATGGCTGACAGTTCGGCAAAATGAATAATATGAAATAAGACGCAGTTAGCAAGATAGTATTCTTTGCAGTATGACCAATTGATTTAGAGTCCCTTTACACTGACAATTTGGCGTATTCTTATCGCTTTCGTGATCTTCTCAATTCAAAACTGATGACTTGTGCAACATTTGATTCCGCAACAGCTTTCATTTCTTGCTCAAGACCATGTGAACTTGTCAGATCCTGAAACAGTTATAGAATGAATAATAATAGACTGGGGTAGGAAAATTAAGCAAACACAACTGTGTTTATAGAGATACAACAAACATGTATTGAGTAATATAAAATGGATGGATGAATGAGTATATTCTATTATGTCTTGGTGTTGAGAAATGAATTAAATTCTTACCTTGAGAAAACTTTTACATAGTGAATATAATCGTGTGACGCACTGTGCATAACTTGCATGATCTTTGTCAATACCATGTTTTTTCAATGTCTTGTCAACTGTGTATCTTAGTGCCTGTTATAAACAAGTCATCATCAACAATAAGCTCCACAAGAATGTTTTACACTATGACATTTACCCTTAATATATACTGTAAAATGACTAATTTTCACTGGGTTTAAATTTCACTGATTTACCATTTCAGGCATATTCAGTGGGTTTTAAATTCACGATTGTATCATTTAGATGTGTTCTTTGCTAAATTTGACATATTCACTGGGTTTTACTTTAGCGCATTTTCCAGTCAGCGAAATAAACGAAACTAAAACCCAGTGAATATTTAAACCTTCTACAGTATTACACACAACATGCATGCATGAGTTATCAAGTTTGAGAAGTCGCTGCAAGTCTAATTTCTAAATAGAGAATTGAAGATTTTGTCACAAAATATACAAATCTAACCATAGACCCTCCAGTAGAGGGTGATCTAACAGAGGTTCACCCATGATACCTACATACCAAGTATCTAAGCAATTGAGCTAGCAGTTTTCAAATGAAGTCGAAAATAGAATGTTTTACCAAAAATGACAGACATGAACAGCTCCATTTTGGCTGAAATCCTAAAATGGTTACTGGTAAAAAATATCCAAGTTTAAAAAAATTGGTAAAGACAGTTGTTGCAACAACAAGAAAGGGTTTTGCACCAGAGACAACAACGACAACAGCAACAATGAGACAGACATTTTTTCTTTCATATATCTTTTCCTTCATCCATGATACGGGCAGGGTGAAAATAGAATCTAATCATTAAACAAAACAGTATGCGTCATTAACCCACCATGAGTGATGGTATGTTTGGCTGAAATCTGAAAAAGTTTGTACAAGGACATAAATACGATTTCGGGCAACAGTTTTTTTTCAAAGTGTTTTAGTACGTAGAAGTTATTTTCACAATGAATATATTTACAATGGTTACATGAAATGGACCTCCCTTTTCTCCGGCATATACAGTGCCATTTATACTGCAAATTTTTTGTTGCACGAGTGTCCTCATTTGCAAAAGTTTCAAATTCTGCATAAGCTCAGTACTGACACTCTGTACTAGATACCAGACCATACAGGTGGTTTAGAACAGTGGGAATATAGAAATGTGAAGTTTGGTTAGAAGTGGATCTCATTTTTTTAAATAAATCAAACGTTGTCATCCACGCACTTGTCCTTGCAGTGACCTGACTTCACTCATTTCAACTCGTTGTTAGTTCATTCGTGTACAGTTAGTCTTTTGTAGTTGTGATACAGTATATTACGTCATTTATTATTTCGCCATGTCACCGATACAGGGATATTTTTGAATGCAAATGAGATGCTAATGAGGACTATCAATGAACTTCATTTTGAAAGACACTAAAGGAACATTGGCGTAGTCTTGAAACCAGTTTCTTTCATTAAAAATATTAATTTTGTCTTGAAACACATAAACCATAATAATGATCGATCACCACAAATTGATTTTGGAGAAAATAGCAAGCATTCCATCGACACTATAAAGACACAGGTCAATCTAGAACCAACATTCCTTGTTATGCCAACACATCACTCAACAAGGTTTACATGTATTGTAACATCAGGTTCATCTTGTGTAATAACACAACAGTAAGAGATGAGCATCATGTTGCGTTGTTTGCCATGCACTGAGGAAATTACGTTTTCTCTCATAAACGCACAAACCAAAATTTGTTTATACACATATATTAATAAACAAGATATTTATTTTCAAGCTTATGCCCAGTTAAAAAAAAGCGCCCAAAGATGACCTCAACTCATTAAATGTCCAAAAATAATGGAAAGTACGGTATATGCCAATTTGGTCCAAAAATACACAGAATAGGCCAAATTTTGAACCGATTGGTGAAATGGGTAACCAGAATCCTTACTTGTTTATGTTTATTAGATCTTGATTGTGCAGATCCAACTGAGGCTGATCTTTGATGTGATAATGATGAACTACGTTTACTGTCTTGCTGTTTAATCGCTTTTATTCTTGGCATGGAAGCTCTACGAGGACTACTTCTTACAGACCTACATGTATAATGACATAGAAATAAGTTATTACGGTAACATCAGTAAAGTTTAGAGATAGGGTGATGATGCTAGTAGTTAGTTAAACAAATGCCTGATTGGAAAATACCATTTAGCAAGGAGGACATTACTCTTAGACGAATTCTTGGTTATGCTTAAATTGGTTATTCTTAAGTTTATGAACATATGAGAGTGTTGTGATAACAACATGCTTCATTGTAAGAATGCAGAATTTAAACTTCTACTAAAGGTCAACTCAGTTGACACTCGGGATTATTCAGTGACAGCAGACTCTGTCTTCCTTACATAAATATACAGTGCAGACTTCGCATAGACTTTGGCTGTTTTTCGCTACAGCATCACGTAAACATAAAGCAGCTTTGCTACAATGTGGCATCGTCTTCACTCTCATGCCTAACCTTCAGCTTCAAATAAGCCTCGTCTCATTTCTCCAAGAACAAGTAAATTATTTATTGATTTGCTTCAAAACAACTGAGATTAATTGGGTATCATAAACAACAACAAATCTAGTACAGTGTTTATTTCATCACGGTTACCGTGATTTCACAGTTCATGTTGCGTCCTCAAATGATCCCGTGTGTAGCAATATATCGAACAGCATTCGGAATCAACGTTATCTAATTTTCTGGAAATAGTGACAAAACAAAAAACTTCAAACTTCACCATTAAAACAACATTTCAATCACAAAACTTTCACTGTTGCAAGTGAAGCTGTAGTGACGCTGTAGTGACGCTGTAGTGATGCTGTAGTGACGCTGTAGTGATGCTGTAGTGATGCTGTAGTGATGCTGTAGTGATGCTGTAGTGATGCTGTAGTGATGCTGACGCTACACTGAAATGAAATGAAGCTGATGCCGAATTGTAGCGAAGCTGGATGTTGTTGTGTGTTTTGTTAAAAGTTGGTAGTGATGGTTATGGTACTCTAAATAAAATATCCTCACTATTATAGAACACAAATTCACCTTTTTTGTAAGAGCTCCTCTTTTGCTGTGGAATTTCTTGTTTTTATTGTATGACTTGATGAAGTCAGAGATTTCGTTCTTCTTGGTTCTTTCTCGATTGATGCTTCTTGTGGTGAGGCTTGAGCGGCAGGGCTAGGAACCAACATAGTAGCTGCAGATGCCACTTGCTCTAATGTGCAGGTAGATGATGTCTCATGGGTAATATAGCGAGCTTGAATACGTAATCTTCTATCATTGATTTTCTCTGCATTACGAGAGTCTAAACAGTAACTGAAATTCAAAGTGGACAGCTACTATCTTTTTCAGGTTTCAATCAATACTATTGATTTACAATGGTCAATGGTATTCCTTTAATACTGACATCATTTTCACAATGGGACTCTGTCCTATTTCCTTTTATTCTGTAATCTGCACTTTTTGAATTTGTTTTGATATTGTTTTATAACGATATATTAACATGTATACATTCCTAGTTACTGTACTAGTAATCATAGTGAAAATTTGTATATTCTTAACAAGGTTTGGTGTTCCTCAGCCCGTGCTAACCACTGGTGATTTATTTCTCTATCCATCATCCAGCATCCAGCATCAATTTCCACAATTTGAAAACAACCATCAGGATACAAATGTTCCTACAAATTTGAATCAGTTTATACATTACACATACAGTTTGTGATGAGTATGGACCAATCACATTCAAACTATGATTTGAACTCAAAGGTCTGGCACAAGATCATCAACACTTTTTTTAAATAAGATATACCTATTATAGTGAATGGGATATTAATCATTTCAGTACAGGGTCCATAGCACCAAGAGCCAAATGATTTCCAAGACTTTTCCAGACCTTGCATTTTTCCAAGACATTTTGACCCTTAATTCAGGCCAACATCATCACCAAAGTTCTGAGGATATGGTAGTTCCTTGGAGAAAACGGGTCTTTCTAAAATGAATTAATAACTATGAAGCAATTTAAAGACTTTTCAAAGATTTTTTTTTATTTTTCCTGTAATTTAAAGACAACTCAATGACTTTCAAAGGATTTATCCAATGCTACGGACCCTGCAGTATAATACAATGTGTACTGTACTCACTCTATTCCATGATGGTGCATTTGAACTGCATCTTTAAAACTGGCACATGACAGTGTAGTTGGATCAGAAAATGTACAAGGCTTGCATGTTTCAGAATGTACACAATTAGTCGGTGATGACTGGTCTGATACAGGTTTACCACTATTCTTGAAGTATTTCAAAAATTCACTGACATCAAGTCGAACAGCTGTAATGAATGTATCCGGTATGACATTTTCAACAAGGTACATGCTCCATTGACTAAAAACATTCACAAGGCTACAATTAATTCATAATCAGGCATACTTTTTGGGAGTGACGAATAAGTAAAAATAGTTCATATGAAGTAAAGTGTAAAAAAGTTACTACACAGGACATACAATTTGATCAAAACAGCATGGCCATTGCAGGGCAGATGCGTTACTCGACCACGTTAGTGCCCATGCCTGGTCAAGCCCCCCCCCCCACTTTAGTGCAATTTTTATAATTGAGGTCACATTCAGCAAAGTGCCCACCCCTTCAAAATTACACTAATTTAAAACTAGGTCTTTGATCATTGCTAAACAAATACTTATAATCGTTTTTATATGATACAGCATGTGAATATGTTGTGAATGCGTAGACCGCGGTAACAGTGCGTAAACTACGCTTCGACAATGACCCTGTAATAAAAGTCAAATGTGTTGAATATTTTATGCCATATTCAGTTTATCTATCAAAAATTGCTAGTTACCAGTTTTTTTATAAAAAAAACCATGTCGTTTATTCACCGAAATCAATTCCAACAGATCATACTTCAAACATTGATAATTCACTTCCGCTTTTTGTTACCATAAAGTCTTCGGGAATTTCTGATTGGTTAATAACAGACTTGACCATTAGGTCAAAGGACGTTGTTGCAGGTCAAATCATGCAAATACATCATGGTGCAAAGTGCTTTTAATTTCGTAATTTTATTTTTCCTCAAAGACGCAATCTGTAACATGATGAATTAAAATTGTCATTTGCACCTTTTTCCGAGGGGGATGCTCAGGTAAGCACCTACCCCTAAAGAATCAAGCTTTGTGAGTTGCGGAACATGAGCGCTAACGTGGTCGAGTATGGTTATAATGCTCAGAAGATGTTTATACTCACAAGTACCAGCTTCAGGAACTCTGATCACTTCACCTCGGAATATCATTTCTTCTGTTTTGACACGCTTAAATTTTTTATGCAAAGCTTCTTTATTAATTAATGCTTTTTTTTCTATCCAATCTGATCCAGTGTTATAATCCAATTCTGCGTTTAAATAAGACAAGTGACTTTGCAAGCTGGTTGACATTTGTGGTGTCACTCATGTCAATCAGCTCAATCAGAAGATAACATTTTACAGTTTAATAATTGCCTGCTGAAAACCTCCACTGTTTTTATCTCAAATTATTCTCACAAAAATGTCTATACTAAAAATACGTTTGTCAAATATGACTGAAATTAAAACATGACTGACCTCTATATCATGTCATTGAATTGAGTTAATGTTTGATTGGCGTTTCAAATCTGATTCCATTTACAAAATCAAATCAAAGAAAGCTTAGAAAGAACTCCTGTGTGCTGAGAGTATTGGAGACACATTAAAATTAATTAAAAATTTAAGATTAGCCTTTCAAACAAGAAACTTGTAAACCACTATTTGTCTGCTATTTGAGATGCACAACATGAAAAAAATGTGATTCACATCATCTCTTAAATTTGATTAAATATAAATTATGAAAATAGTGAGGATAGTCACAATGTACACGTAGGTCCTGTCGTCACAAGACGGTGTAAAGTTAAATTGAAGTCATCACAACATTGGTACCACACCCACACCTATACACACATACAGACATACAGACAGGCTAACAGCAAATACTCCCATTGTGTGCTTTGCACATGGGACTCAAAAAACATTGACATTTCCAATATTATTGGTTTATGATGCATACTCCTATTTTTTGTAGACTTCATGACACTACCTTCTAAAAAATATAGATATTTGACTTCTGTTACCACTGCACCTGAGCAAACTTTGAACATTAAACCTTTCAGATTTCCTAGGTTAATTGTGTTTAGCATGTACCCAAAGCAGGATTAAAAACAGCAATGCATGATGGGATTGTAGGTTGTTTAGACAAACAAATATTCAGTTGTTTGAAATGATTAAAGATCAAGTCACATATTTGAACTTTCAACAAAATATAGTGGCAGGTCAATACAACTTGTACACTCCTCAGACAGAAACATTACAGATACAATCCTAGCCATCTGATATGATACCTGATTGGCTAAAATGTAACACATGACTTACCGGAGCACAAATTCATCGCTTCAAGCTCCATAGTTTTAATGAGTTGTAATTTACATGTCCTATCTGTTGTAAACTGGTCAATATAATCACTTCGGACTTTGGTCAATAATTCAACAATTTCATTTTGACTGATTTGGCATTTCTTTTCTTGAATGTCTTTCTTTTCTACAATGATACAGGGAACTGTTAGAGATGAACAACATCAGGTCATAAGGTCAAAAACTGCAAAATGCAACACATACCAATCCAATTCTTGAGTGCTACTGATTGTAGATTCATTAAATCATTTTCCATTTTCCATAAATCACCAACATCAAATAAAGGTAGATCTTCAAGCAATTCATGAGGGTTGACCTTTGACCCTGAAAACAAATGACAAAATG